TATGGTAAAAAAATAAAAAAATAACTGTTATTTATCATTTAGTAATTACAGAACAGCTTTGTAAAAATATGTTTAGTTCAATATTATGAGCTGTTGGGCCAAGATTGTCCAGTAAATCATCTTATTATATCAATTTAAAGACCAAAATGGGATATTGGCTGAATCTGATCTTGGAAGATCTACCAAAATGTTTAATATTAACAATGATATTTAGTACCAGTATTGGATTTTGATATTGATCAGTGGGTATTTATCAACCCAGAATGTTACTGTTTAGAATGTTTCATGTCAGTCCATTTCATTTTCTGTGTTTTGGACCTGCATATGTTCTAAAACAGGACTGAATGATGTGTGATCATACTCGTACATGTTAGTGCCCACTACAAAGCACATTGCTCATTATTATTAGAAGATGGGCCGTGGTCCTGCCTGTGGGACTTCTTTGTTCAAGCAGCGTCAGTCTATGAAGCACACAGTCACTGCGCACCAATCTGTATCCATGGAGACAAGTAGGTGACCTGGGGACCCATCTCTAGATTTTGAGCTAGGTTTAGTCTGGACTACCTTAGCTGGAGGATTTTACATAATATGGTGCATGTTTTGGATTGGGATTTAACAATTCTCATGTTTTTTTGATAACTGCACTAAGGTTTGTGAAGCATTAAAAAAATAGCTCTTGTGGGTTGTAGTAACCACATCGCTGATTAGCCCAGAGCAAGATTTCAAACTTGGAACTATCTAAAGTTGGATGTTGAATGAGTTATTTTCTTACAGATGATTTTGATAAAACTAGTTAGATTTAAACAGTTTGCAGTGGTCCAAAGTTATTCCTCACTTACCTTATGCATTTCAAACGTTGTAATTATTCATCGCAATGTGTTTTTAAGCACTTTTCACAACTTTCAGAGACCAGAGCAGAGATTTGTTGTCATGGAAAAATAAGAACTATCTTGCTTGTCATTATGCTCTTCCTTATTCTCAGACAAAAAAAATGATAACACTTTATAATATCTACACTTATTCATGCCTTAATAAAACATGTAGAAAAATATAAGTCTTAGTAAACAAATCTACTAAGAATGATCCAGGCAGAACTACTTTAATGAATAGTCTTCACTTAAGTAGTTACTGACATGGAATAATAATGAATAATTCTTAATAAACTATTGTTCATTATGAAATAAGCCTTGTTCATTCTTTATTTAGGCTAATTTAGATGATTTAAAGTGGTTCTGACAATAGTTGAAATTAAATGCAGACAGTACACAGCAGACTTATTTTGCCCTCAAGAGCTGCTTTTACAATTGATCTGTTCTGGGGCAAGACATATTTTCCTCAAATACATGGGAAAATCAGGTACAGAACCTTAAAGTCTCAAAGTTAATAAATCAAGTCTCAAAGCCTTTACTGTGATTTAGTGCAGGCTGAATAAAGTGAGACCAGATTGTCGACTGTCTGCTCCAACAGTCTGGAGACATGTAGATGGAGCAGCTCTCTGGAGGGTGGGGTGATCCGGGGCATGTCAAGTATTTACATGCGCCGCTTATAGGCCTGCACCTGTCGTACGGCGGCCCGTAAAGGACAAACTACTGACAGACTGCTCCGCCTGTGGATCAAGCCCAGCTGCAGGGACTCAAGCATAACCAACAACTCATAGATCTGCTTAAAGAACAATGTTGAGTCTTTAGTGACAAGCCCCATTATAATGTTGCAACCGCACCACACAATAACCATAACTCTCTAAAACTATTTCGCACCATTTTTGAAGTTGCTATAGTAACTAGGGTTGGCAAAAGTGTTGAAAATCAGATGCTAAAAGTCACATTTGCAGGACAGAAATAAATCTTTCCTGAATAGCTTGAGTATGATGTTGAGAACAAGTATAAGACCACATAGATTAGTACACACCCATGGACCTACCTGGACCACTAAGAGGCGACACTGATATAAAGTCATATGGTCAAATAAAAGAATGTACTATGATTTATTGTTGAAAATTGCACTGTATTGTCTAACGAAAGAGTGTCTTTTGTTATAATAATGGTCTCGGAATTGGTATTCATTATCTAGTCTATTGGGACGAAAAACAAACCTAATTTTTGATATTTTCTTAATCAGATTCACTCTTAGAATGCAAATTGTTTTCCTGAAAAATACTTGAAGTTTGCGAAAACCTTGCTCTTATGTAAAACAGCTCACTTTGATGATAATGCTCAAATGTGATAACTTGGTTGGTTTGCACAAAAATACTTGGATATTTAGTTGTTTGGTTATCACATGCAGCTACCCAGATTTGATCATTACAACCATCTGAATTGTGATTTTGAGCAGCTCTTATATACATGAGCTGGTATAGCTTCTGTTTTGTGACCTATTTTCTTCTTCCTCCAGCCCTCTGCATATGCTGCTCGTGCCCTCACAAAGGCATTCCACTGGCTTATTTCTATGTCTTTTCAGGTCTTTTAATTGTTTTCCTTTCTCATTTAGCCTCTCGGAGTTGTGTTTGGAGTTATTTTGTTTGAGCAATTTTTAATCGCATATTTTCGACATATAATTTTGTCGATTTTCATTTACACGGTGCACGCCCGCTGCTGACGTGCTTACTTCATTCTCCAATTTAAATTTTTCAGGGATATACTTAGGATTCGGCAGCGCTGCTTAATCAAATGACAATCAATTAAAATAAATCTACTGTAATCTGCAAATATTCATCAGAGGTGTCGACAACTGCACAGCTCTTTGTTGTGATGACATTTCCGTGTTATAATAATCCACGGACATAAGATTATTAACCTAAGGATTTTGAACCTGCATTTGCAATTAATGTCTTCAAATCCAAAATGGAGAGAAAGTCCACATGTTCAGGAAAATGATCCCATTACCTACTAAATGAATACCCATCACATTTGAGTGACCATCTGATAATAGGATTGTATATTTGGCTATATATAATTACTGCCTTCATAGTTTTGTCATTGTGAGCAGATTGCAGAGTTGTTTTATGTGATTTGATTTAATGTTGCTCTAGTCCTGTTGTTAAAATCAATATAGGCTGTAGCAGTGCACTCCCTTTGCTGTTATGGTTTATTTAATCTGACAAACAACGCTTACTTTAACATGACTCTGATTTATCTACACTGTTGGTTCCACACTCCTCTGTCTCTATTGTATATTTTGTATTTAATATAGGCCTATCTCTTCAAGATGTAATTTGATCCTTGAAACTTTCTTTTTAACATGCATTATTATATTTTACTGTATTTTTTTTTTAACAGTAGGCTACACCAGGCACATGCATCAACACGCATTGGTCTACCCTCCTAAAATAAAGGCTTTTAAAATATGTTCTAACCAAGTGAGTGATTGATCTCTGTCTCTTAAAGAAGACCTATTGTGTTTGCGGCTGCTATAATCTATGACACCCGTGGAGTTTTATGTTATAATTTAGACATTTGAAATCACAATATTGATCTAAAATGACTTAATAAAAGAAACAAGGCCACTAACTTCCACGTTGGTGTGAATGTCATCACAACAAATGTCACAGTCCAGTTTGAGGCTGCAGCTCACAGACAGGGGGCGCTGGTCGACTGGAGGAGTGCACATAGAGGCAGCAGAGGGTTTAGTTTAGTTTATTACAAAATGACAAATCTAGGTCTACAGAAAAAAAATAAAAAATAAAATAAATAAATAAATTCAGCACAGTTAAGAAAGTAGGCTGCGGGTTGTAAAAGGGACACCCACCCCTGAAGCCCCATATGGCATTTGTTAGTTTGTTTGTTACCTACCAATCTGATTCATAAAAAAATAAAATAAAAAATAAATAAAAAACTTTTCTATTAACCTACTTGAGACCTAGAGAATAAAATATATACATTTTCTCCTACATCAAGTCATAGACAAAGACACACAGGGCTTATCAAATGGAAGAGTATAGATAGCCTACTGTACCATCCATGTAGTGACAGTGTTATAAATAGCCTAATCCGATTTTTGAGAGAATGTTTGTCTTCTTACTGAATAAGATGAATTTGCTCTTAAATAGCCTCAGCTGATGGTGTCTGTAAATTCTTCACGGTTTCCCCATGTTACATTTTACTTTATTCAGAAATTGTGTAGAAGAGCAGCACTCAAACTCAAGGTGCAACCCATTGTATCTAAAATTGCCATAGACTATATAAAGATGCATTACCAGTCAAAGGTGTGGGCACACTTTTTCAGTTGTGTTTCCTCTTTATTTCCATGATTATTTTTATTGTAGATTCTCACTGAAGGCATCAAAACTATGAATGATGCATGTGAAATGTAATGAATAAAGATTTTAGATTAGACAGATTTTAGATTTTAAACAGCCTGTCTTTGCTTTGACCACTGATTTGCACTTTTTGGCAATTCTTAACCCTGACAAGGCACAGATGTGAAGTGAAAGGCATTTCATGTCACATCAAAAAGCTCCTTGACAGAAGGCCAAAGGTTTGCAGCGGTGTCACTTTGAGCATTTGGATATACATTTTTTTCTGTGTTTTTAGGTGTTGAATTATATAACTTTTTCTTTGCTACATAATTCCATACATCTTTCTTCATATTGTTGATGTCTTCTGTATGTACATAAAACGCAGAAAGTGCTAAACTTAAAGACATAATACACTGAACAACAAGGTAGTGACTGGTAGAGTCTATGAGAATCGGCCTGCACTAAAGCAGGTTCAAGTACGTACAGCTCTGCACGTATTCTGCGGAGGGAATAGTGACAGTAGTTTTGCATTAAGCAGCGAATCAAAGCTTGTGGAGAACCACTTTGTGGTGTGAGGAGCGAGGAAGGGAGCGAGGAAAGGAGCGAGGATAGGAGGCAAGCACGCTTGTAATCCGATGCGGCCGAGTGGGGGTTCACGCGCACAAACGGTCTTCTGTGATTGGCGGAGAGTGTGCGCGAGGCCCGTAGGCTGCACCTCCTCGTGGACACTCCCCGCAGAGCCGCACTCGCTCTCGGACACTCGACACGGCGCCTCTGTCTTTTCTCACACTCACGAACACCGCCAAAACCTGCGTTAAACTCCGCCAAGAGCGCGCAAACTTCGCTAACAGCAAATATGAGCGGACGAACTGTAACTGTACCTCGGACGTGTTGTTGTTTTCCCAGCGGGCACGGCGGATCTAACGTGTCCCCTCTGTGAGCAGGGAGAGCGGAGCGCCCGGAGCCGCAGCTGGATGGACGGGTATGGGGAGGAGAGGGAGCCCGTCGGCGCTGGATGTGTGCAGGCTGCTGATCGTGTTGCTCTGGCTCTGTCCCTCCGGTAAGACTCACTGTGATGTCTGCACTTTGCTTTTCCAGCCCGGGCTTTAGGAAAGCAGTGAGAGGCCAGAGGAGCGGGGGGTGAACCGAGACTAAACGTGGGAACGCCGTAAACATTCCACGGACACGCGGCTGCAACATGTGGGCCAAAAACTCCAGAAAGAGTTAAAGGGCCCATATAACACTATTTTCTGATCTATAATATAATGTTGTTTTCTCATTAAAATACCTGGAGTTGCATTTTGTTTCATTCACTTGTTTAACACACAAACCCTGCATATTTAGGCTGAGTTCTTCTCTCAAACAGAAAACTCTTTTATTAGTCTGTCTACATCTCCAAAGCTCAAAATGCTCTATTCCATCTTGGGATGTCATTAAGTGTTAGCTTTCACGTTAACGTCTTCTTTTTACCTTTAGTTCAGTTCAGATTGGCAATTCCAGTGCTGTAGTGGTCCAAATGTTTCTAATGAGGGTGTATGGAGTTTAAAAACACAGTGGAGCACTTCCTTTATTGCAACATGACATCACAAGGTGGAACAGAGCGTTAACAGTTTGAGAGAAGAACCTAAATATGCAGGGTTTGTGTATTAAACATGTGTGAATGAAGGAAAACACAACTCTAGTAACAATAATCCAAATAATGCAATATTGGCCTTTTAAATTAAAAAAATAATGATTTTGAAAATGAGGTTTTTGCATCAAATGTTCTCCAAAAACTGCAATTCATCTGAGGTTCTATTTTTTCATCTGTCACTTTCCCTTATCATTTATGTTTTATGTTTGATTTGATAAACTAGGTCACAGACTGTAACGTAACAGAAGTGAATTATTATAGTGTAGAATAGACATTGGTCAAAACATATTGACTATAAAAGTCACTTCACTCTACTTCATAAGTTTCTCTTGCAGGACGATATTTAAATATTTAGTCCTCAGTACGGTGGTGCCTTGGCTCTAGTTAATGGTTGATTGAATTGTGTCTTGCCCGAAGCTTTAGAAGCACTAGCCCCAGAGTGTGTTGTGTTTGGGGGATGGGTCAGGCCCTCACAGCTCCTTGAATGCAGCCCTTTTTGTTCAAGGCTAAATGCTCCAGTGTCCACTTTGGATCTTACTATTACTTTGCATTAAGTGGTTTCAGGTCTCATTCACCAGTTTATCAGTTTTTAAAAAAGAATATTCATTCACTGAATTACTCTTGGACACCACAGTCATGTCAATTTATGTAGGACATTTAAAGTAAGGTTGATAAACAATATGTTTTTACACAAACCCCAGAGAAGTGCAACAGTGTAACCTCAGCAAAACATATGCTAGCACTGACTGCTGACTTAATAATGATAATAATACTAATAATACTAATAATAATAATAATAATAATAATACTGCATTAGGTGTTATACAGTGCTTTTCCAGACTCTCAGTCACTTTACAATTTTATGCATTCCTTCACTCCATACTCTGTGGTGGTAAGCTGTTATTGTAGCCACAGCTGACTGCACTGGGTGAAGTGTCTTGCCTAAGGGCAGAGGTTTTTGCCACTGCTGTCCCACTGTGGACGCTGGTACTCACAATGGTCTCATTCAAGTACTAACCAGACCCAGCCCAGTTTAGCTTCTGAGATCTGACAAGGTCAAGCTTTGACAAAGAGATTTGGCCACAACTACAATGAAGTAAAACACATGAGGTGTGTCAGTGAGGATGAATTAAGACGGTGTTAAAGGTCATCAGTCAGGTTTGTCCTAAAGTACACATGTTAAATCCATATGTGTACTGCAGAGTAGTACTTTGCATTAAGCACTGGGACACACAGTTTGTGTGCACCTGTTAAACATTGGTACTACTGAGGCTGATCTTGTCTGTGTGTAGAACGGATCACCGCATATCAGCCACTGTCTGGATGCTAAAAACAGTCTGTGTCACCTTCAGCAATTTCAATAGAAATGAATAATAACAATTCACATTCTACTGCTGTGTAGAAAAAGTTATTTTCAAGTACCAATGCCCCAAGAGATCACAAAAATCACATGTGATCAATAATGCCCTGATATACAAATACATAATCTATTAAGTGGCTGGCTCTTATCAGGCTTTCTGCAGTCACATACCCACAGGCCATAGTGAGAATGCCCCATAGAACACAGCCCGATTAGTCTGTTACCCACTATGGACCGTCTATGGAGTGAGGAGAGGTGTGGGGGAGGAGGGGGGTGGGAGAGTGTGTGAGAGACGGCAGAGGAGGAGTGTGAAAGTGTGACTTGAGCACACTGATATGCTTCTCTTGAATGTAGGGCCTGACTCACGGCTTCATGAGCCAGAGGTAACAGGGCAAATAGAGCCAATGTGCACTCAGACACTGAGATGAACAGGGACCAAACCAATGAGGCATATGTCAACACACTTCAGTTGTGGGCACATTTAAATGACAGTCCAAACAGACCTGAAATATGAATGCATGTGTGTCTTATAGCATGGCTGTAGACCAAAAGGAGAGAGTTTCAGTGTGACCTTTGCATATGACTCCACCTAAAGGCTGTACATGTGTTGTCTCTGGTAACTGACTCCCTGTATGTTGTGTGCAGTGAGCCTGCAGTGTAAGATCCTCAAGTGTAACTCCGACTTCTGGGCGTCTACGGGTCAGACGGGTGCAGAGGAGGACTTCTGTGTGGCTCTGCGTGCGTACAACAGCTGTGTGCGGCGCACAGCGCGCACATGCAGAGGAGACCTGGCCTATCACTCCGCTCAGCACGGCATCGAGGATCTCATGATGCAACACAACTGCTCCAAAGAGGGCCCTACCACGCAGCCGCGCGTCAGGACCCCTCAGGCCCCGCCCCCTCAAGCCCAGCCCCCTCCCGACAGTCAGGAGCGCTCAGATGGGCCCGAGGTGTGCCACTATGAGCGCAGCCTGCCCCGTGGAGCCCCGCCCCCTAACTATACCCACTGCGGCTTCTTTGGAGACCCCCACCTGCGCACCTTTGGAGACCACTTTCAGACCTGTAAGGTGGAGGGGGCGTGGCCTCTCATTCACAACAAGTACCTGTCTGTGCAGGTGACCAACACCCCCGTGGTGCCCGGCGCCATGGCTACGGCCACCAGCAAGGTGAGATAGTTAGCGTCCTATAAAGTCCCAAAGTGATTCTGAAGCAGAGCAGCAGATCATTTAGCACAATTAGAACATGAGCAGAGAGGGTGAAGTAGCAGACAAGCTCTAATGGTGCTACACACACACACACGCACACTCACACGCACACAGCACACGCACACACACACACTCACACACACTCACACACACACACACTCACACACACACACACACACACTCACACACACACACACACACACTCACACACACACACACACACTCACACACACACACTCACACACACACACACACACACTCACACACACACACACACACACACTCACACACACACACACACTCACACACACACACTCACACACACACAGTCACACACACTCACACACACACACACACTATACACACGTATGTATGCATGTGTCCTCTGTATGCTCTTACGTGTGTAGGAGCTCCCTCCACCTCCTCTCTGCAGCGCACTGTGGCGCTGTGTCTGTAGTTGTGAGAGCTCTTGACTGTGGCCTCTGATAGTTGAGTCTTTATCAACAGAGTCTTGTTTAGATTTGGGATAAGCCTTTCCTTCCCCATCTGACTTTGTCCTGACCTGGAGCTTATGAACAGCACTACTTTGTGTTGTGTGGAGAGTCTAAACAGCAGAGGCCCATAACCACACGTCACTTTTCACTAATAATGGTTTAATCCCAAGCTACACATCCATACACATGGATATAAACATGGTCTCGTGGTTCCTACAAATCGATACATTCATTACTGAGACAAACCTGTGCCCATAGCCTTGCACTGTTTACTGCTGCACAAAGCTGATCCTGGTCAGAATAAGGCCTGCTCCACCTGTCCAAACACAAGACTGCTGCTTCACACTTCACCACTTGCAACATAAAGGCCTTGTTTGATTTCTTGGTAGCAGGATGTGCAGCTCTCTGATTGGCTTGACAATTACGATCATTAAGCTCCAGGCTCAGCCTACAAGCCACTGTGCTTGCCAGTCCTATTGTTTCCCACTCTATTCACCGCTTTTGTTAAGTAGGAAAGGATTGTTGAAATGTGTTTAGATTTTCAGTTTTTTGTTTTTTTTTAGAGCATAGCTAGTGTTAAAGTTAAGGTGAAGGTTAACCTTTATTGTCCCTGTTTGGAACTGAGAAGAGCCAGAACCTAACTGATAAATGACGTGGTTATAGCAGAGCTCCATTTTAGGATGAAGTAGTTTTCACATTGTTGATATTAAATACACACCTAATTGGACTGGTTAGATTTGTTTTCCTGTTGTTCAAATGCATCTCAATGTTTCCTCTTGCCTCTAATGCTATTGTTTGTCATTAATGCTGTTCTGCATCTGCCTTTGTAGCTCACAATCATCTTTAAGAACTTCCAGGAGTGTGTGGATCAGAAGACGTACCATGCTGAGACGGACGAGCTGCCGGCCGCCTTTGCTGATGGCTCAAAGAATGGAGGAGAGCGCCATGGAGCCAACACTCTGCGCATCGTGGAGAAGGTTCCCGGGGCACATGTGGAGATCCAGGCACGCTACATCGGCACCACAATTGTGGTGCGACAAGTGGGTCGCTACCTGACCTTTGCGGTGCGCATGCCCGAAGAGGTGGTCCACTCAGCAGAGGAGGGGGACACCCAGGACCTGTACTTGTGTCTGCATGGTTGCCCTGCCAACCAGCGCATCCACTTCAGCGGGACATTACAGTCCCCAGGCCGGAGCAGAGCTCAGGGCTTTACCTACCATACGGCGAAGGCCAAGTGCAAGGAGAGGCTGCCTGTGGAGGACCTGTACTTCCAGTCCTGTGTGTTTGACCTGCTCTCTTCTGGGGACATCAACTTCACTATGGCCGCTTTCTATGCTTTTGAGGACGTCAAGATGCTGCACTCTAACAGCCAGCGCTACCACCTGTTTGAGGAGGACCTGAGGAGCAGAGCGGGCCCCGTGCCAGACCCCAGAGAGGCCCCTCTCTCTCTGCTGCTGCTGAGCCTCAGTGCTCTGCTGCTCTGGGGCCTATAGACCTGCTCTGGTCTGTTTACATGTGTGTGCTCCTCCAGTGTCAGGTCTGTGTCGTTTCATTTAGTCACATCATCCAACGTGTAGACAGACGAGTCCTCGCCCAGCACCTGGAGAGACCAGCCCGAGACCAGCCCAGGATCAAGGTGTGAACTGGGGGCACGGGACAGAGGCGAAGGGCTGATAGGAGCAGACAGGAGCTCCATCAGATAGACTGAGTGCAATGGCGAGATGTGCAGCACAGCTCAGCTCTGTGCTGGTGTAAACAGAGATTGAGGCCCATTCCTCTGGAGCAGGGCCAGTGCTTCAGCCTGGTCTCTGCTCTCACCACAACAGTAGTGTGACAGCTGATTGGACCATGGCTTTGTCAAACTGCACTGAATTAATTGTGTAAAATGGAGGATGGTGAATGTCATTTACAGACTTCATGTCTTGTGGCACATTGGCAGAGCCTTGCCCTGGGGCAGGAAGGTCCCAGGTTTATTTTCCCAGGCTGTGTGTTTTTGTTGCCGTGTGCATGTTCTCCCTGGCGACCGAGAGGGTTTCCTCTCGGAGTCTACTCCACCTGCCCCCATCACCTTAAGACACGCACACGGTAGAACCTGCAGCTGGGTCACCTCCATGTACAGAAGGACCCGGGTGAGAGGCAGAGGGAAGACGTTCTACCTCTGCTCCAGTGGAATCAGGCTCCATCTTGTGTCAGTGGTGCTACTGTTAGAACAGGAGCTGGTAAAACAGTGTGTGTGATGCAGTTTCAGGTCGTGTCACTTGTGTTTGATCAGATATTTTTAGTCTGAAATGTGAATGGAGCGAACGGCAAAGGAACAAAGCAGGCCCATGTGTTTACACTGTCTATGAGCCAATCAGAATGAGCCTTGCACCTCAGAGGGAGACAGCATCAGGCCTGCATCTTCATGAAGACAAAATCATGTTTGGTTCAGTCAATATGTTGAATATTTGATAACCATTTCCATTGTCAGCTCAATTACATGAAAACAAACAAGTAATGAATCTAAACTGTAAAAAGTCTAAACCAGGTTCTACAAGATTAGGACAAAATTAAGATGTGGATTCTTTTGTTTAAAGGTGCACTATGAAACCTTTTTGGTCTAAGGTCTGCCACCAGTTTGCCTCCATGGAGATATTACTGCTTTGTTTAAAATGTTCCACAAAGACAAGCTAAAGGTCAGATCTGTAGAGACGACCCCGATCACAGTAAGAAGGCATATTTTTAAAGACAGTTTTTTGCCCACATAAACATCTGTAATTGAATAAATGCGAGATAAAAAGTTAAATCAAATGCCATTCTAGGCAAAGCAATAGCATCTCTACTGAGGCGAACACAGAAAATGTTTCACAGTGTGACTTAAAAGTAAAATCATAGAAAGTTACATTTAGTTGTAGCCAGCCTTGTGCCAACCTCCTCACAGCTCAGGCTCTCTCTGGTGGGCGCTCACTGGTGGGCACCCTCTGGGCAGCTGTCCCACTGCTGCTGTTCTGGCGTTGTGTGTTCATTCTGCAGTAAACGTGTGGCGTTTGTACTTGTGTTTGGTGACTTTTACACTTGTGTTGTTTTGGTGAATGTGAAACCTTTTTGTTTTTAAAGGGATTGTACAGAACTTGAGCCCCAGTGAGCACGGCTTCTTCTCACCCAAACAGAGGCTGGACATTTACTGTGAGTCCAGCTGTGTCAGAGCTGTGTCAGAGGTGTGAGAGAACGCTGCTGCAATTGGAGCTCATGTTTTGATTGAAGCACTTTATGTTCTTTGGAGCTTTTTATGAATTAGTTTTGTGTCAAATAAAAAAGGGATGCTAATATGATGCCAGACAGATGAACGTGTTTGTACAGTGACTCATGCAGCTGTTTATAATGTCAGTTATTTATTGAATAAAATCAAATGTCTTGTTCTGAAGTGTCTGGTCTCATCTGTATTTATCCACCTACAGTGTAAGGGCTCCTCCTACTGGATAGAGTTGAATAGCTTTGGTGGTATTCTTTGACATACTTCAGGCCATTTAATGACATTGCAAGGTTTTATATAATATCTTTATGTAGGACTAGGTGACAATGCTAACTAAAAACATGATTGATGCTTAGTTCAAATCTCAGGCCATTTGAAATGTAGTTGCAAACATGTATTATCCTGTTACCACTACTGAGTACTCTTAAGTGAAATGATCTGGAGAGGCTGCATTAGCAACTTCCAATTCAGACCAATGACCTTTAAGGTTTAGACCTAAAACTGGGAATCCAAATAAGACTCTTGTTAGACTCATTCTTTTTCAGATTGGATAATCATCTGGGGAACCAAAATACCAAATTGTAACAACTTGGCCATCGCGTCCAATGTTTTTGTAATTAAAAATAAATTAGTGTTACATTTATCAGTAAAACCTATTTGATCTGAACATCTCATACATTTCTTTTCATCTGTTTCCCGAAGTAAGGGCCCTGATGTGGCATTCTGAATGTGGCCAAATAGAATATATCTATACTTATGATATATGAAGACAATAAACATAGACCGGTTTATGAACACGAGTTTATTCCACATGTCCCATAGGTACAGCACATGTTTCAAATATAAATTATTTCTTCAAGATCCACAGATGTAGCTTTCAAAGAGTTCAAGTCAGCCACATTCACAAACAGGAGAAATGGTCCCGAATACTCGCCTTCCACTGCCCACACTGTCACGTGAGTACTGTCCATGTACTGTCCATGTACTGTCCATGTACTGTCCATGTACTGTCCATGTACTGTCCATGTACTGTCCATGTACTGTCCATGTTTAATACAATAAAACACAAATAAGGCACCATGGAAAAGCTAAAGGAAAAGCCGGACTTTGGCACAGACTAATTTATCAGCGGGAAACCGTGTGGACCCAGAGGAGAGCTAAAATCAGACCTGGTACTGTAGTTACCATCCCAGTTAAAATGTGCAAGAGAAGGTGGAGTGGCTAATACTGAGAGGCGAAATGTATGTAGTGTTACAACAGGGTTTGTGCCTGAATAGTGCCGCTCCCTCCCAGCACAGAGGACTGACATACAGATCTGAGTCTGTACTACACGTTTGACACTTCAGCGGAGGACAGGGGAGGGAGAGAGCTACATTTGAAGGTGCATTACAACATTCTTTTTTTTAAATTCACAAAACTTAAAGCTAATCTCACAAATCATAATAATAACACATGTCCATGTCACTGTGTTCTTCTGGGAGCATCTCCCATACATGATCCACTCAGGCACTTTGAGGGGCAGTCCATAACCCTACACACTTCTCAAAATCCTCACACACTGCTGCGGAGTAGTTCCATAGGACTAAGTTCTGACACAGTCAGTGTGATACAGACACAGGGATAAACACCCACCCCGGTGGGCCCCTGTTGTCACAGAGCAGCTGGAGTGGTTTGGCCTGGCCCACTTTGGCACACTGGCCCAGACAACGGACTTTAAGACAGTCACAGGAGAGCGCGTCTCTAACTGACGGAAGAGGGCTTTTTCTGATGAAACTCAGAAATTCTCTGCTTACTTGGACTGAAATCTAATCAGATTTTGTCTGCTTTTCTCCTGTTTTAGACAGGAGCAATACTTGTTAAGACCAGGTTTAGACCTGGTTTAATTCTGGTTTAGACTTGGTCTACTCCTGGTCTACAGTATGTGTGTCAGTTTTCAGTTCAGTTCTCTGCAATCAGACACACAGCTGAGCAGAATCCCTTTAGCTTAGTTGGCTTTGCGGCTCCAAACAGCATCCCCACTAGCGTTAGGGTCCAGGGGCCTCTCGAGGGGGGAGCGGGAGTCCTGCGGGGACTTGTGGGTCTGGGGGGAGCGGGGGTCCAGCAGAGGGGGGGCTTGTCAGGGGGGAAGGGCCGGTAGTTGTCAGGTCCTGGGGGGCCACTCTGCCTGTGCTCTGGGGGCCTCCTGAACTCCTGCATGGGCCCCTCCCGGCCTGAGTGGTAACCCGGGCCACGGAACTCATCGGGACGTCTCCTCTTCGGGTCTGAATGTCTGAAACAGAGAGATTCAGAGGTAATATGGATTTCTTAATCCACACATCTCAAACTTAAACCACACTATTGGGTCAGTTTCTGAATGTAGAATGTTTTCTCAGAAGGAGCAGGAGCCTCTAAGAATTATCCAAAACGATAGATTATGGAGCTCTAGAAATAAAATTAATTTAATATTTATTTAAAATGCTGAAGCAGTAGATTATAACCTTGGTCTATGTTGCAGCAAAGTCAAATGTCATTTCAATTCCCTGAGCAAATACTTGAACACTATAAACGGAAGCAGTCAGGTTTGTAACTGTTCACTCAAGTGAAAAATGATGAAAACTATATGGTAAAAGTTATAAAAAGACAAAAACTTCAGGTTTTCATTTACAGGTGATTGTCAAATGTCAACATGGCACATCAGTTACTTGAGACAGGTGCGTTGGAAAAGAGGGAGCAGCCCAAGAACAGAGAAAAATCCCACACACTGTCTTACTTGCAAATTGTGAGATTTATTAGGACAAACCTTGCAACGTTTCAGCACTAGGCCTTCATCAGGCAAACCTGTTTGCCAAATAAATCTCACAATTTGCAAGTAAGATGGTGTGTGGGATTTTTCTCTAAGTTCTTGGGCAACATACTTTTTAATACCATCTGAATGTCGTACCTGTCATAGTACGGTCGGTGGGCCCGGTGGTCTCGGTCGTTGCTGTACTCGTAAGGCCGTTTCCGTGGTGACGTGTTGTTTCGGTACCCTCCTGAGCTGCGATATTCTCCTCCGTGTGGCCGGCGGTCACTGTAGTGGTCTTTGTAGCGGTCGTACTGATGGGGGCGCTCTCCCCATGGTGGCCCACTGTTACTGGGGTATGGGTACTTCCTGTCCCTCTGCCAGTCCCCGCGCTCTGAAACAACAGCAGCAAATGCTCGCTATAAAAAACAGTCCTGGTCCTTTTGAACCTTGTACAGGAGATTGACTCTGCTGCTCTCTGCTGGCAATATTGGGCTATAACTAAGGTTTCCATCCTTTTTTACTGTGAGTCACATATTTACAAAGATATGACAGAGCACTCTGTCTTGGGACATTCATTTTAAATCTGTATCACTGCTGCTGGGATTTTACTGAGGTTATAATTGTAGAATTTTAAGTTATAAGAGGGCCAACAAAAACTTGAGGGTTGCATTTGGCCCCTGGGTCATAGTTTTGTCACTATACCATATTACAGCAGAAATATGTATAGTGACCTCGTGGTTTCATTTCAAACATGTACATGTCTTCAGAAAAAAGCCGTTCCACATATGCTTCGGAAACAACTAGCTCTTCCTGGTGTGTGACTGTGGAGGAGTGTGGAGCAGCATACCGTCATTGAAGTGCCTCTTGGCTCCTGTGGCGTGGGGTTCTCGGTGGTGTCCCTGGGCCCCGGATTTGGAGGAGGCCCCTCCCTCCCGGCTGGAGCCTGCAGCCTCTGATCTAAGCGGCTTGGCTTTACCACCATCGTCCTTCTTCTTATGCTCTTTCTGTGGGAGCCAGGCAGTTGGGTTAGGCACAAATATTACATCACATCTACACAATGAAATCAGGTCAAAAGTGAGATGAGGTACCTCCTCCTCATGAGACCGCTTCTTCTGAGCCATCTTGTACAGTTTGTGGAGCTTCCGGGCACCAAACTCAGTGAACTTGGAGACAAAAATCCACAGGTTTCTGAGGACATGAGAAAAGCATTAACACTGAAATAATACACACTAAATAATAAGACACATAATACTACAGAATATTTATACAGCCTTGTATCACTCTATTTGACGGTTAGAAAAGATATAACATTTTGAACTCTGAGTCGCTGCAAAACTTCCCTTCCCTCCCGTCCTCACCTCCTCCACAGCTTGACATGCTCCGGGTCACTGTAGGCCTTCAGGCACTCGCTGATTCGGTCTCCGATCTTGAGCAAACAGGTGCGGGTGTGCTGCAGCTGTTCTTGGTCGGACAGCCCCTCGTCCGGCTTGTCCAGCTGCTTCAGAGCCTTCTTCACTGGACGCATGCGCTCCTTACACTGGGAACACAGCATACATCAGATAGTTAACACCCAGTCATTCTCACATGCATAGGCACAGATATCAGGCGTATTGTTTTTTTGTTTTTTTTCATGAGTAGAGTTGTGTACATGCACATAGTGCCATGGCTCCAATCTAAATGTCTTGACTTCTCTACACTGTCCCAGTCTGTGTGCCCATGTGTCATTCAGTTTGTTCTCTGTGCATCAGAATTGTCTTTTTAAAAAGAGACTCATGAATAAAAACATGTATGTTTACACAAAAACTGTATGTTTACACAAAAATGCAAACATATAAAGGGAGGAGGCCTATTGTGTCTCTAAAAATACCCTGACAAGTAATCAAAGTAAACACGATTACTGTTACAGTCATGCGGTGAACGTACAATGCTAAAAGTCTCCTGGTCCAGTTCGTCGTCCTCTTTACCCTGGATGGGGATGGGCTCAGAGCCGGCTGTGATGTGCACAGGGCCCTGGTTCTTCCTGCCCTTAACCACTTTAGGCTGAAACACACAAAGGGGAGGAAGAAGGGTAAGGGATAGGAGAGATAAGTTGAAGTCTAACTTGATTTCTTGTTTCCCTGTATGAGCAGCACTGAGACTTTCTGAATCCTGCAAAGGCCTGATTTCCCTGTTTCAGATGGTGTCCTTTCACACATATGCAAGGAATCATTCAAATCTATCAGCACTGCCCTCTGGTGGTGGGTTCAGGATCCATAGGACCATAGTTACATTGATAACTTTCATACGACAGTGTGCTGTGGTGTGGTGGTACCTTATCCTTGCGGGGTCGTGGGGCCTTCTTGTCCTTCTCTACATCCTTGTCCTTTTTGGGAGTGCCCTGCTTCTCCTTGTTTTCCTTGTTGGCGCGTTTCTTTGGTCTTTTCTTAGTGGGGGACTTCTCCGCTCCATCTTCCTGCTGCAGACAAAACCAGATCAATCAGAATCAACCAGAACAGAAAAGACTCCACTTTGTGATGTGTGGCAATACAGAAAGTGCTCCACTGTGTTTTTAAATGCTATAAACCTTCACTCGTACCATTAGGATGATTTCAGCCACGGAATCACCAATCTTTACTGCACTAAATTAAGAAAAGGTAGATGTTAACTTGAAAACTACTACTACATGACATCCCAAGGTGGAACATTTAGAGTTTTGTAGACAGACTAACAATAAAGTGTTACTCAAATGTGTGAATGAAACAAAATACAACTCCAGGGATGTTTTCATGAGGCAACAACATTTAAACATGATTTAAAGCTCACAATAATCCATTTTGTGTCATAAAGGACTTTTAAACAAACTTTATACAGATAGGCACAGAGCTGAAGGACATCCTGTGTGGTGCAGCCAGTGTACAGGAGTCTAAAATGTTGTATGACCAGTAAAATCTAATCTGTGCTAAGTCCCCATAGCTGTATCTTCCTTCCTGACTGACTGCCTTTACGCTGTGCAGTGCTGGCTCACCTTGACACCCCCCTCCTCTGATTGGTTGTCTGACAGGCGCGGGGAGCATATGTCCTGGCCCTGCTCATCCTTCAGAGCACCGCTGTCCTTCTTCACCCGTGGCTTCCTCTTTTTTACCTTCACCTGCACAAGGAGCCAAGTGAGTCTGCTTTCCTGTTGTGGTCAGGTATGGTCTGGTCTGGTCATGTACACTACCAATCAAAAGTTTGGGTAAAGTTTTTCATTTATGGTTCTTCTTTATTTCTGTAGGCATCAAAGACATCAAAACTATAAATGACACATAATGCAGTAAAGAAAAAAAATCAACTCAAAATAACCTTAAACTTTGTAAACGGTGAGCTTTTGATTTGATACGATTTGATACATCGATTTGATACAGTTCAATAAAAAAAAATCATGTCTGTGATACTAAAGGTTTCACAGACAAGACCACTTCTTGTGCAAAGTGAATATGAAACACACCCATTTTAATCATCAAAACAGTGAATATGTCAAATGTGTTAGATTAATTAGTTTCCTTACTCTAAACAAGCAACAAAACTGTAGCACCATAACAAAATGTTAAATAAATGAAAAAAAAAGAAAAAAGAAAATATACTCCTTGCAATATATAGATACAGAAGTCCACGAGATCAATACTGTATAAACATGATACGATATTTCAATATTTCAATATTTTTGCACACACCTAGTTTAAACTTTTGACTGGTAGTGTAGCTGTGGTTTAGTTTGGTCTGGTGTAGTTTGTGGTGGTGTAGTCACAGTGACAGTACCTCATCTCTGGGCACCTGCTCCGTACTGTCCTGCTCTTTCTTGAGCAGTTTGAGCAGGTACTCGGCGCGCGCCTGCAGCTGCTTGCCCTGGGGCTTCTTACTGGGGTCATCGGGCAGGATCTGAGCAGAGGGAGAGCACAGGTCAGAGAGAACACAGCCAGTCTTGTCCTTCTCCAAATGTCCTTCATTTGTCTCTTCCCTGCAACTGTGCTGACTGAATGTAAAAAAGAGGGTGAAGAGGTGGAGACTTGCCTTGTCCACAAGCCTCATGTCAGGATCAGTCTTGATCAGGTCCCAGTTCCCAAAACCATGCTCATAGATCCCCAGCAGCAACTGAGTGTCATCCTGGAGGTCCCACTCCACGTCAAAGTGGGCCTGCTTCACCCGGAGGTTCAGCATAAACCTGCGGGACAAGCTTCACGTTAGACACACACATTAGCCACAGTTATTGTGCTAATCCTTAGTGGCTCCTGACTTGTTTCTGTCGCTGGGGTTGGCTGGCACCGCTTTGTGGAGAGGCTCAAACTCCTCTTCATGTTGGATGATGGACTTGGCATTGACCTGGACTCCTGAGATTTTGATGTTGATCCCCCTGCGTTTCCCAGGACCTTTGGCTATAAGACATGCCTGTGTTACCTCATCCTCATCATCTCAAAGAGAGACTATTCCAGAGTGTTCCTCACCTTCCACAGGGTTTTCCTTGAGCTGCTCCTCGTGCTCCTGCAGTGCTGACATACAGGTAGAGTGGACCAGCTCACCCAATCTCTTCAGGTCTGCGATGGACTTGTCCACCAGCTCAGAGTCTCGAGCAATGGCCTCCAGCCTGCACCAGGGAGAAGTGTGTTAACATTATTTTTCCTCCAAGAGTAGTCCATGAGCTAGGAGAATTTCACCTTTCAAGGGGGGCCCCAAACTTCTTATAAGCCTTGATGAACCTGCAAACAAACACGATTAGAACAAATGTGACCATGTCCTGTGTGAACAGCTCCAAGACTGGTTCTAGTGTGTTCCAGTACCTGCGGATCTCAGCGTCAGTGAAGCCCTCCACGTTGTTCTTGCGAGCCCGGGGACGGCCTCTCCTCTTGGGCCTCTTGTCGTCCCCGCTGTCATCACTGTCGCTGTCAGAGCCGGAGGAGCGGTTCTTCAGCTTGGAGCCCACGTCACTGTCACTATCGTTAGCCTGGGCCTGGACACACACAGGGGGACACAGAGATGTCAGAACCAGGCTAGACCAGAGAAACACAGATGTGCATTGTGCCCTAGGACCTTCTTGTTGGAGCTCCTGCTTCTGGGCAGCATGAAGATGTCCTCCATCTCCCTCTGCCTCTCCTCCTCCTCTATCTTCTTGCGCTGCTCTTCTGGAATGATCTCCTCCCACTCTCGAGCAGGCTTCTCCTCCAGCTCCTGAGTGCTCTCCTCCATAGTGGAGAAATTAGCCACCTAATACACAAGCAGACATAAGAATAGAACACAGAATAAGATTTACCACAGTCTCTCAGTCTTACACAACACATTATAAGGTACATGATTAGGTGTACCTTGAACTGAGACAGGAGCTCGTCTGTGGCGCTGGAACCCTGGTCGCTCTCTCTGGTCTCAGCCAGTCTCAGAATCTCATCGATGTCCATTTCCTGCCACAGGGGATTACTGACATAACTCACTGCATGGATTATTCTAACCAAGTTTAACTACATACAATTGTTTTATGTACACATTTAAACTGATCATACAATATATCATTTTTAGCAAAAATTTCATTCGGAGAACAGTTGTAAGCATTTAGTAAAGGGCATGTACCTGTGGCTCCGATTCCTCCCCCTCTGGCTCTTTAAACAGCTCCTCTGCTCCAAACTTGAGGATGGCTGTCAGCTCTTCTTTGTTGAAGGGATTGGAACTGTGGAGCAGCAAATGTATGATTACACTTACGACTCCCATGATCCCTTTTTGACCCCATACTGAAAGAATGTTGATAAGGCTCACTTTGTGCTTCCTGAGCTGTTGTCCAAAACGGTGCGTCCAGTGGTGTCCATCCTCTGAATGACCAGATGGTCCAGAACCATCTTCTTCTTGGCTCTCTCAATGATGTCCTCCTCCACTGTTCCTTTGGTCACCAACCGATAAATATTTACCTGAAATGGAGAAGCGTATTAGGGCTACACTAATAGGGGCTACTCTCTGTATCTCTTAGCTCTCTTAGACTTTTTTTTTTGTAACCATAATCTGACCATAAATAACTGATTTAACTGGAACTACAACAGAAGAGTGTGCACATGAGGTGACTGTACCTGCTTCTTCTGCCCAATGCGGTGTGCCCGAGCCTGAGCCTGCAGGTCATTCTGAGGGTTCCAGTCTGAGTCGAAGATGACCACAGTGTCTGCAGAGGCCAGGTTAATTCCCAGACCTCCAGCCCGAGTGGACAGCAGGAAGCAGAAGTCCTGATGGAGACACAATAGACAGTCAGATTCATACTGACAAATACGATATGTCCTCCTTTTTTCATACACATTTTGGTACAAATGAGGAAAATACACTACTTGCTAGCATAATGTATAGCTATCCAGGATCTGACAACTTCATGGCTTTGTTGTGATGACATTTATGATGACAGCTCCAACTGGGCACCACAGTTTACTAACACGGAAGTCAGCAGATTTGTTTTAGCAGTTTATTCCAAATTATAACATAATAATCCATGGGTGATTATAACTATATAGCAAACACAAGTACAGTAGGTCTTCTTTAGTGTGTTACTGTTTGAGGCAAATGCAGGGTTGGTGTTCAAGACAATGACAATAATGTAACCCATCCTGTTGCCAATATATCTACACTGACATACACAAACCACAACATGAATATTCACTGCAGACATACTGACCTCTGAGCCCTCTGCGTTAAAGTGGTCCAGAGCCTGTTTCCGGATCTCTCCCTTTATGGAACCGTCCAGTCGCTGCGGAGAACACACAGAACAGCAGCTTTAGCCTGGGTCTTCTTAAACGTGTACATTCCTTTACTCTGCAGGCTAATGTCTACAGCCTACAGTACTAACCTGCGTGAACACTAGAGCAAACCAGCTCTCTGCAGTTCAGTGGAACAGAACTGGACTGGTATAAATAACTATGAAGTGGGCACAACATGGAAACCTGATGCCCGGCTCAGCAGAGGCCAAACAAGCCCCCGCTCCACAGCCTGAGCCTGAGCCTGAGCCTGAGCCTGAGCCTTAGCCAAACACAAAGGTCAACGTAACACAATGTTTACTCACAGTACAGTACCATTAGAGAATACTGAGTACAGTGTGTACTAAGGCTAATCAAGGTAATTTTCCTGACAAACATTAGGCTTAGCATTGCATTTACTGTTGGTTGATAGAGACAAAAAATAATAACCACTTTTAAGTAATTTGACATTTTTTGTCAAATATTATCTGATATAAGATTATATCCTTTGATTAGCTCACTACAATGACACAGTACTGGAGACATCTTAGCTTGCTCCTTGAAATATAGCACATTGTCTGGCTGGGTTAACTGTACCTGGAAAGGGTATCTCTTCATGGTGAGGTACTCAGCCAGGATGTCCAGCATGCGCACCATCTGAGAGAAGATCAGGACTCTGTTCCCTCTCTCTCGGAGGCGGGTGAGCAGCTTGTCCAGCAGCACCAGCTTCCCACTGCCTCGCACAAGGGCCTGACCACAACACAACATGCGGCTTCATCTATGACAGTACTGAAGTGACACTGCTATTCATTTTAAATTATGTTTAGTCTTGGCTCATAGTAAAGTAGGGTATGTTGAATAAGTTTCATAAACATGACATATCTGTGTTCCAAAATATGAGACAAACAAGTTCATATCAAATATAGCCATCACTGATAACAATTGTAATGTTTATTCTTGAATACAAAAAGAATGGGCATGATGGCCAAGGTTTTTATGTTAGAATTTGGTATGTTGTTTGTCAAGCTTATTATCCACTGTGAAAGCAGAAGGATTCTCACACTTTAAAGTTGCAAGATCCTACAACTAAAACCAGTTAGAAATGCAGCCAATCATTAATCAGTGCTAGTACAGTCTCCACAGCTCAGTAAGTGCATTCTGGAAGATCTGAGCCTTCACACTAGTCCTATCCATTCTGAGAATATGAAATGAGAATGAGTGTCTTTACTTGTCCTTTATCTGCAGGTAAAGACACTGGCAACCCAGGTTCAATTGGGACATAATACCTTTTTAAACAAGTAAGGGTCCAGGCTACATGCCTTCTCTTTAAGTTAAAAAAAATGCATTTAGTTGCATGCATATGAAATATTGCAGTACTTGTTGGTATATGGTCTGGTTTGGCCAGAAAATCTTACCACTTGTTGTACCATACTAGTCACTAGTACTACTCAGTAGGGTTGTTAAAATCTAAAATTAAAATCAGACACTAAAACATGTACTAAAACGAGATACTAATATGAGCAGCTATCAGCACTAAAAAAAGTAACATTCACAGGACAGAAACAAGTCTTTCCTGAATAATGTTTGAATGATCTTGAGGTAAGTATAAGACCCCATAAACATGGACCACTACGGAACCTACCTGGATGACAGGGATTACACAGTTATAAGACCACATGGTAATATAAAACAAAGTTTTATGTTATGTAATGTTGAAAATCAGACTCTATTGTCCAAATAAAAAGTTTTTTGTTTTTTTTATCATTTATCACTGTGGTGAAAACGGTGTCTATTCCGGAGTCTATTCCTTAGTATCAAAGTCAAGACACTAGTCAGCACTGTGTTTCCTCGGCCACATGCCCACAGTTTGTGTGAGTGGTACCTGCAGCTGTGTGGGTCTGCTCTCTCCCTCCTCTTCCTCCTCGGGCAGTTTGATAAGGAAGCTATGGTTGCAGCACTTCTTCAGCTCCATGACAATGTTGAGGAAGCCAGATGAGCTGCCTCTGGTGCCCTTAGACAGAGCCTTGTAGTTTCTTGTGAGAATCCACCTGGAAATGTAGAGGTGAAAGTGTGTTTAGTGACACTGTGCTGTAGGTAAAGACCTGCTGAATCAGTCAGGTGAAAGGAAAACATATCTCTCTCCAGCCTAACATTGCCTAGAAGAAAAATCATGGAACATGGATGAAAGTTTTAACCATTTAGACACTGCTAAAGTCACTTTAAATATTATTCAATGAAATTCAATAAAGCAAGATATGAGATTATAATAAAAAGGTCATAGTTTGTATATTGTATGTTGTAAAATGAATTCGCGGATACTACACTTCTAGAGTACAGACTGTTAACTGCTTTAGTATCAGCTTCCCCCTTGTGAAGTTGTAGTGTAGACTGCACAGGCTTTTGGGCTTGTACTGCTAATTGTAAGGATAGTTCCAAAAATGACTGGCAGAGATCACAAGAAATGCAAGACTACTATTTATTTATTTTATATTTATTTTTTATTTATTTATATATATATATATATATATATATATATATATATTATATTTTTTATTATTTTTTTTATTGAATGTAATAGTATTTTATAATTTTATTGTATGTTATGTTTTATTTTATTTTATATTACAATTTATATATTATATTATATATGATGAGGGAATAAAATGATAATATGGTAAAAAGCTGCAAAGTCGATTTAAATTTGATTGCCATACTATTCTAGGCAATAGCTCTGGAGTGAAGCAGAGGCAATGACAGATCAAAAGTAAATAGTTTAAATCACATACAAGGATACAAATTGACTCAGTGCATGTTGCCTTGTACACCCCGGAGACCAAGGCCAAGGCCTACATACTTGTAGAACTGTTTCTGCTGAGCGCTCATGTCCACGCGCAGGATCTGCTCCACTTTGGCAGGCAGAGACTTCTCTACGTCCTTCTTGACACGACGCAGCAGGAACGGCTCCAGTACTTTGTGCAGGCTCTGGTAGCCATTTTCACGTCCTTTTCCATGCTCATCCTCAAAGTCCTCCCACGAGTCAAACCTACAAACAAACCAGACCATTTATTTATTTTTATTAATACAAGGAGAGTCTAATGAGGGTACCAGACACTTTTGAACGAGCACCTTGTTTAAACAATACAAACTAAACAAATTAAACTAGGGATGGGCTTTTTTTTTTTTTTTCTTTTTTTATGAGCAGATATTTGATATTTGGCCTGCTGTAGGTCATGTCCCTGGTATCATCATGTTTTTGTTGAGGAGATAGCATTATAACATAGATAAAAAAACATAGCTTAATATAGACCCTTTAACATTTGCACACATAAGAGGAGGGAGCATACTTGTGAGGCATGAGGAAGTGCAGTAGGGACCACAGTTCTTTAAGGGAGTTCTGCAGGGGTGTGCCTGTGATCAGCAGTCTGTGGTTAGACCTAAACTCCATCAGGCTCTTGTACAGCAGAGAGTCATCGTTCTTCAAACGGTGAGCCTCATCCACACCCAGGAACGCCCAGTTTATGTTGCCCAGCACGCCCTGGCAAACACACCACAGTTAGGATCAGCAATACATAATATGTCATGATAACACATTTTGAAGTACAATATTTGGACTTTGGGATCATCGCGGTATCAAAATCTGTATTGAGAAGTTAGTATCAAAAATTGGCTTTGAAATTTTATTATTGTGACAAAACTACTTTGGACAGTTCAGTTCCTTGTTTGCACAGACATATTATGCATATACCTTATCTTTCAAGAGGATTTCATATGTTGTTAACAAAGCATTGAAGCGGATCCTCTTTGTTTGGTGGTTCACCCACTCATAGTCCCGAATCTGTTCAAAAAGACAAAAAATTTTAAAGGGCATATGACAGGATAGATTACCAATTTCTCTAAACATAGTTAACATTTCTATTGAAGATTTGCCATTTTTTTGCCAAATGATTGACAATTTTGTTTAAGTTCATCATGGTCACCACTTCACTGGTATAAAAGTATGATACATTTTACCACAGCAAACAAATTAAGTACAAGTAAAACATGAAAACTAGTCTTATAAACTTAGTCTGTCTGCACAATACCCCTGATTTTACTTTATGTTTCATGTCTGCGTAACTATGTAGTACTCTAACCGTCTTCCTGCTCATGACGTCTCCCAGGTACACCACCACGTTCATGCTGGGGGCCCAGGTTTGGAACTCCCTCTGCCAGGACGTAAGTGTGGACAGGGGCACCACCACCAGAAAGGGTCCATACAGCTGGTGCTGGTTGAACAGGTAGGACAGGAACGAGATTGTCTGGATGGTCTTCCCAAGGCCCATCTCATCAGCCAGAATTACACTGTTACACCTGCACAAACACAGCCAGTGTTATAGGCATGAGCTCACAGAGTTTCCCATTAATAGACTTTGGTGGCCCCCATAGTCCAATATTCCCCCCATAGTCTAAAAAGAACATGGACTAGATTGGCATCACATAATTGTCATCAAGATAAAAAGTGATTACACTGTTCAAAAACATCACAAGAAGTGACATTCAAATTCCACAAATTGTATAAAAGAAAATTATTAGTATTTATGCCACCATAGTCTGAACAAAACTTAATAATAATATTAATATTATTTAGGCAATCCAAGGTTCACTATGCAACTTTACTGGTGGGGTGCCTGCCACCTGCATCTATCCATGGAGATAATATTCCATGGTATGGTATTAAAATGAAATTTATGTTGAATTTACTACAAGACTCCACAGATCTGACATGTAACTTGGCCTGGTGGCATCACCTTCTTCCTGGCCTCTCTAGATGCAGTATATAAATTTATTACTATACTGTGCAAAGCAATGACATATCTATGGAGACACACAGGTGGTTGACCTTCCACCAGAAAAGTGACATAATGGAGCTTTAAGTCAAAGCTAAGCACACTGCTCAGTGTTAACAATGTCACAATGATTCATTCACTGACTGCACTCTGCTTCTATAGCCACAGCAGACACAGGGCAAACTGAAAGAACACATTCACTCACATCCACACAGTCGATCCCACTGAGCTGTACCTGCACCAGGAGTGAGCCAGCCAGTTGACCCCAGCCAGCTGGTAGTCTCTCAGCTCCAAGTTTTCATCTCCGATGTATGAAGGCTGTTTCTTCAGAGCCACAAACCTTGGCCTTTGCTTCAGAACCTGACAATAAATATCACATCAAGTAATCACGTTTTTTTAAAAGCATGTTTCTGTCTCTCACACTCAAAGTAACATAGCCATTCACACAGAATAGCATCAAGTAATCTGTCAATTTCAAGTTTACATTGTACTTGAAATAAAATAGAAAGTCACAAATGCATAGTAACTGCTCAATTAAATCAGGTAAGTAAAATATCTTTACTAATAGCTAGTGAAATCTACTAGATTTGTGATTTGCATTGTGACTGAAGTGATTTTACCTCAACAGTTCATTGCAGTAAAGACAAAGAGGTATTTCAGGGCAAAGCACCTTGCAGTCTTTGGAGGGCAGGGTCTTGCTGGAGTTGCGGCTGTTGAAGCTGTCGACGCAGTGTTGGAACTTCTTCTTGACCAGAGCACCGTCTTCCCAGCTGCACTCCGAGTATGGCAGTCCCATCCACTTACACAGGTACTCCGGCTCATCTGAGGAGCCTGTCTTATGGCTGTGAGCTGGACAAACAACATAACAGTCACAACTATGGAAAATATCATATAAAAAAGGGTTATTTTACTTCAATGGGGTATTAACTGCTAACAAATTTAGATCATCGTGTTACCTTTCATTGTTTTGAAAATGCTACATTTGCCAAAAACTATTAAAAATGAAGGTACTTGTAAATCACAGCAAAGGGTGCAAAATGTGTTCTGTGTACTGTGTACTTGTGTGAGCATACAATAAAAGTGTTACTCACAGGGGAAGTCAGAAGGCACGTGGGACTTTCCAGTTTTAATTGCTGTTAAAAATGAGACATATATTAGAATACTGCCAAATGAAAAATTAAGAGACATCTGCCTCTTGACTTACAAATGATCCGTTCCACGATCTGAAACTGTTTGTTGAGATCCGCATTAAGCTCCTGCTGACAGTTGTGGAACTCAATGTCTTCGGGGGAGGCCTTATTCAGCCTGAGAATTAAAGTAAATATATATTTTTTAATTCATTTATTCATGCTTTATTATTTCAGAGAAAATATTATTCTGTCCATAGTTTAAGAAAAAGAAGGAAAAAATACCAAAAATTCAAGGCAACCAAATTGGTCCATGAAGTAAATTAAAGAGTGTGGAGACTTTGTGCCCAGAATAATATTGGGAAAAAAAACACTTTTGTCTGACCAATTCATTTTCTACGTATTATTGCCACAGACTCTGTAAATCCTACCCACAGTTTCTAAACATTGTGAGGTACTTTTTGTTTAACCAGTTCAGTTATGAAATTACGATTGTTTATCCCTGATATCTAAAATGCACTTTCTCAAAGACTAGAATTTAGAGACTAGTTGAGTAATGGGCCTGTTTTATATTCTATAGTTTAAATTCTTAGTAGAAATGTTTTGCACAAGGAATAAGCTACTGTTGGTACTGTGCTTAGAATTTCTTTTATGCAATCTACAGAGCACTAACAAAAAATGTAACATTCTGTACAATGCAGGGCCAAAACACAGTATAAAAAAAGAGGAATATCTGACCATGCACTGAGCTCGTCATTTTTCTTCTTAAAGTTGTCCAGTTTCTTGAGGCCCTTGACCTTCTGCTGTGTGAGGGAGTCCAGGCTCTCCCAGGTGTTGTGAATGTATGACCAGCCCTTCCACTTGATCAGGTACTGGGTCTCCCCCTCCTCAGAGTTGGGGTCGAAGCCCTCACACGGGTCTCCGTTCTCCTCCATTTCGTACAGTGTAGTGCGCGCTCCAGTGGCTGTGGACACATGCTTTTATTGTTTCTTATAAGCTATGGGGTTTCTGATTAATAATCAGTGAATTAATAGATCAGTGAGAATTAATGGAGTTAAGTTATTGCCTTTAGTCTATTCAGGTGTGCAAATAAATAGGGTATGTTTCGCCACCGTCTGGAACCAGCACATGAAGGACAGAGCCTCCGGACCTACCTGACCAACACGCTCGGTGGACGACAGAAGACCAAGGACCAGACCCCAGCCCCGTCCTGAGGGACTGCGAGCTATGGTGACTGTTTCTCTTTCGCGCTGTTGCCCGAACTCAGAGCTTCTGCTCCGGGCTGATGCAGTGAGTTTGTACCAAGTTCTACATGTTGGCATTTTTCGAGTTCATGATGATTAACAGGGAACATCGGTATTGGTAATTGGAGGTATCGCTGTTTTCCGGGGAAACAGAGGCACGTCAATCGGACCAATTTTGCTTTGTTTGCCGGTGTGAAAACGGACCACATTGGAGTGTATTTGCCACATAATAACAATTTTATTGCCTGGTGCGGACCAAATAATGGAACTAGCGGTGTGAAACACCCTTAGATCATGATGTTACCTTTAATTTTGAAAGCTATATTTGTCAACAACAACAAAATCTTTTTTAATTATTTTAAAATGTAGTCGTAAGTCCAAATAATAACTACAGGCTCACCATATCATATTTTCTCCAATAAAATCACAGAAAAAAAGTGATGGCATCATTTGAGTAGAATCACCTCCTTTCCTGCCTGTCCTGGTGTCCATGACTTTCTCGATGGTCTCGCTGTCGTCATCCTGAGTCTCCTCACCTGCGTCCCCCGTCATCTCGATAAGGTCGTCTGAGTCTGTCTCAAAGTCGTGCTGGTCCTCTTTATAGCTGCACAACAAGGGGATGTGTGAAGGATAGGGTACATTCAGTGTGGAGACAAGAGTTTGCTCTAACAACCCCATCATGTATGGTCTCCTACATATCAGACATAACATGTAGATTTGAACATATAACATGTATAATATGTACATATGTACAATGTTATAGCCCAACAGCTATCAAAAACAAGACACACCTATTCTGGATTCTGACAATGCAGAGAGCAGCATGTTAGGTGCACTTCCAGGGTGTCACTGTGGGAGTATGTGTACCTCTTAACTTTGGTGGCCCCTCGTTTGCGCGGTTGTCTCTTTGGAGTGTCCTCTTCATCATCTTCATCATCTTCATCATCGTCTTCATCCTCCTCATCCTCATCCACAGAGGAATCCTGTCTCCTGGATTTCCTGGCCTTCTGAGACTGTTGCTTTTTGGAGGATCTGCTTTGAGGCCTGAAACAGTTACACACACACCCACAGCACTTAAATGTGGGAATGGCCCGAGTTATTCATACAATTTATTTACATATGCGAGCAAAGGGTCCAGCTATCCCCTTTTAGGAGCTGGCACATTTGCAGCACCATCTGAGAAGCCAGCAGTTTAAAAAAGTACACACTTCTGGTTTAGCAGAGATTAGGATAGTTTATTTTTGTCATTTGTAGTAAACACAGGTTAAATGATGGGGCATATAATGGTTCTACAACATAGACTGTATAGATGGACATAATGCATATCTAACCTCCTAGCCATCGGGATACAAACAGGAATTTTACATTTACCTTTGAGGTCTATTTAAAAAATGGTCTGTCTTGTCCATAAATTAAGATATGAACATTTATAACAGACCAATAAGTTGTCTTTTTTCCCTGAGGACGCTGCTGAAAGCAACGCTGTCTATCAAACTTGAATCCACCCCCTGCCAAACCAAGAGCAAGGACCCTTCATCCTGATTAGCTTTCTTGTTGCTGCCCTGCTTTGATTTCCAAATATGGGCCGTGGTTGCAGATTAGCTACTATAACGCTAAACAGCCTTATCTTTATTTGGATGCAATCAAACACTACAGGTCACATCACACTTTCTCAGTCCAGTTGTTTATACAGTCTTTGTGCCAGAAACTGCCTCAGGTTGAGCTTTAGGTTCATTTCAGACACTGAATTATGCTTTAACCAGAAGACTGTACAAAGATGAGGCGGATTGAGAGGACCAGTGGGTAACTGTCTGGAGGCCAGATTAGCTCTAATCTTACCTTCGGGCAGGAAGTCGTCTGGATCTAACTTTTTTCTCTTCCTGCTCACTGTCGGAATTTTCAGACTCCGATTCCTCTTCATCATCAGAGTCTCCATCTTTCCCGATTCGTCTTACAACAAAGAAATGCCACAAGTTCACCCTCAGACCAATCAGACTAACACCAATCATCTTCAGGTGGATACTGGCAATCCCAGCACCACACAGTTCAGAGTAGGAGAAGGCACTGATCACAGCCCAAACAGATACCCAGAAGAGAGCATGGTCATGGCAGGATGGTAGGGCTATTAACGGCCCTCTAAGTATGGTGAAAAGAATTGTCTTAACCTCAATAGTAGGATGCTTCAGTACTTACTCTTTCTTTTTAGTCCGGGAGCTTTTGCGTTTGGGGCTCTCACTCTCTGAGTCGCTGCTGCCCTGAAAATGCAGCATAAGAAAGGGGGTTACAGAGAATGCAAAGGCAGATACACAGATACAAATCATAAATCAAATACACTCAAACTAGAATCTAGATCACATGCTCAAATTTTATATAAATAATTATATAACAGAACAATATCTTCAGTGAAATGAAAAAGAGACTTACTGTTGCAGTTAATAAAGAGTGGAACTAAACAAATAATTAACTTTTTTTTGCTACTAAACTGTGCACTCTCTCCTTAAGACCTCCAGGTACTGCCCAGTTTAGTAGCTCTATTTGAAATGTGGTTGGGGGGGAGTTCAGGTGTTTGGTCCCATTTTAAGTTTGAAAAGGTTTATTTTGGGTTTATACAGCAGAAATTGCTCTTCTTACCCCTGCTCCTATGTTGAGGCGCTCAGGCTCCTGACGGCTGCGATTGGACCTCCTCACGCCGTACACATCTGGATGCTCCTCCCACATCTGCATCACAACACACCTGTTACTCTCTGATGAATGAAATCATACATACCTCTCCTGGGTACAGACCCTTTACAGTAGGACTGGACAATTTGAGAAAGCCAATTATGTTTTAATGATAGACGTGTTGAAAATATCACATTTTAAGCACAACTAGAGGAACTGACAAACATTTTGAAATATTAACTGATAAATTATATGGTAAGAATTGATTTGGTAATGTCATCCATTCAAACAAGACAATTTTCACGAGGTGAGGCGAGACACGACATAGGTTCCACGAGAACAAGATGAGATGAGATTTTGAAATAATGTACAATCATCTGGTATGATAATGAGTTATTTTTGTCATCTGCTTTTAATAACCTAAATGCATTGTATGCTTTAAACACATAAGCCTATTTAAACACCTGTGTAAATCCCCTCATGGGTCACTACTGATAATTACAATTTATGCAAAAATTTTATTATTTAAATGATTAGACCAAAACTGGACCAGCTCCTTTCCCCTCTCCCTCAGTGCTGCCTGTGTTATACGAGCACGGTGCAGAGGCTGATAGACAAAAGAGGAGCTTTGTGGATCTTTTTCAAGCTATACTTAAGTGTGGAAAATACTGCATGCTCCGTGCTGTCCGCAGGTGAATTAGGCATGCATATATTTGATCATATTATTTTGTGATCTGTTTCTACCAACTTTAGGATGGATTATTTACATCAATATTGGTCCTGTAACTACGAAATAAAAACTGGGACATTGTTTAAACTCTCTGTCAGAATATGTGAGCTACACATTACCCAACTTTCCAGAGCTTGAGCAAGGCACATAACCTTTTCATATCATTGCCAAATGTAAAGATGGAGGATGAAATCTCATGATGAAATCTCAAGTTTTTCCGTGTGCGCACATTCTTGAAGCAATTTGATCTCCCATCCCTATTCAAATTGCAATTTGAATTCCACTGCAGCCCTACATGACAGTGGCCGTACCTTCTTGACGCATGGACCAAATGGAATTGAAGTGGGCAAGGTGCCAAAACCACCTTAAATTCAATTTGAGATGCTGGGATGAGAACATTATACCATCAAGCCTGGACCATACCAACGCAAAAAAGGAATAGGATAATTGATAGAGCCAGGATGGCACTATTATAGGAAAGGATATCGTGCACAACAAACAAGATTAGAGTACCTTCTTGACGTCGGCCAGTCTCTCCTTGCGGCCCACAGGCTTGTCCTTGGCCTCGCTGTTGTGGTGGGATTTGGATTCATCAGATTCTGCCTGGCTGTCTGAGTCTGAGGAGCTGTTGGACTCAGAGTTATGGGACCTCCTGCGCTCACTGCCATGCTCACTGCCACGCTCACTGCCCCGCTCACTGCCCCGTTCAGAACCCCGTTCGCTGCCCCGCTCGCTGCCATGCTCGCTGCCTCTCTCGCTGCCCCCGTTCGCTGCCCCGTTCGCTGCCATGCTCGCTGCCACGCTCGCTGCCACGCTCGCTACCACGCTCGCTGCCATGCTCACTCTCAGACTGACTGCCTGAGTCTGATGCAGAGTGGTTAGATTCTTCTGAGGCAGAGTTGCTAAAGGAGGAATAATAGTGGGACAAAAAAAAATTCACATTTTTAGTGACACAATCAATAAAAATATTAATTGCTGTAGCAATTTTTCCCCATCTACTGGGTTTAGTAAGTGGACTGACACTCACACAACTTGGCTTCCTCTGTCTATTACTATTCACAGTACTATTCAGGCCAACACAATAAAAAAAGAAAAACTTTGGCAGGACTGGGTAATAATTCTTTGAGTAGTTTTCAGACACTCGAGTACTGTGAAGACTATACATTACTCTTACACGTTTACAGCAAAACAAACTACTCATGAATCATCAGTATGTTTTCAGATCAAATATGTCATCATTTTCTACAACTGAAATAACAGAAGAAATGATGCCATTGAGAAGAAATAAAAACTATATTTGGAATAGTCACCGATAAAAAAAAACATCTGACACAAACTTGAAATATATAGAGAACTCAAAGATGGGTTTCCACAAGTGTCTGTATTAGGACTGAAATTATTTGGTTCTTTATAAATTATATCTGTAAAATAGCACAGTCCATTTGCATGCCAGATGATATGTTTTTCCTATGAGAAAACTTTTTGAAGTTGCAAAAGAAATTTGTTAACTTAAGGGTTGGTTAAATGTGGTTAATTTAGCTCTAAAATGTAGGAAACAAAAATGTAATTTGAAAATTGTAGAAATGTTAAAAATGCAATTACAAATAGATGGAGCTGAGGGTTAATAAAAACACATTTTTAAGCATTTTAAATTATGATAAAATTAATTGTAATCGTACCCTATTTCAGCTATTGTATGGAGAGCTGGGGAAATAACTAAAGCACTTCATTAACACCACTTTCCACTCTCCAAAAAAGTGCCATAAGAATCATGCACAAAGTGGGATATTGGGAACACGCATCTTTTGTTTGTTCAAACAAAGCTACAAAAATGTACAAATATAATGAACTGCTCAAATAACATACAAAGCAAGTAATAACCTTTTACCAAACTTTTACAAAGGAAACAAAACATTCTAAGGCAGTTAAAAAAAAATAATTGATAAAATACCATTTTTATGATATTATTTGCAGAAGCCTGTTTACTTAATGTAGATAAACTGCAGGAAGCTTGCTTAGGATCCAGAATACCCACTTCTGGAATACTTTACAAAGATAGGAATCTGGTAAGAGGTGAATCTCCTAGTTTGTAAATGGATGTGATTGACAAGTAGATTAGCCAATCAAGGACATGCGTGGTCCATCTGTCTTGAAAAAATAAAGGAAAAAATATCACAAATATATTATATATATATATATATATATAATATCACTGCAAACCAATGAACTCCTTCCTTTCACATGCGTAACTGGGAAAAAAAACAACTAATGAATGGATGATCATGTTTGACCAGGCAAGAGGGAGAGGACACCAGATTGATATTATTCAGTACAGAGAGATATCATTCTGAATATGCCAGGCAAGCAGGTAGCATTAATTGTAAAATTTTGTAGGATGTAAAGGGGTTCCCACTCCTTCATGAACAAAATCATTTTAAACATTAAGTATTGTTTTTTTTGTTTTTTTTTATTATTTTTTTTACAGTGTCCAAAATAAATGATGCAGTGAACAATAATGAAAAAAAATTCATACATCTTGTTCCCAATAAGGTACTAAAAAAAGTACATTAATGTATCTACCCTTCTCTCCCCATTTCACACTTAAGCAGTCCTGTCAAATTAAGGTTTAGGGACAGAAAACACACTCCTTTCAGTAGAGCAGGCTCATGGAATGGACTGGAATGTTTATTAACATTTAGGCATATTGTTTTATAGCCTTTAAGTCATGTAGGTTGTAACTTTTGTGGGAAACAGTTTTAACCAGGTCTTTACATTTATGATAAATAACAAAACCCTTGCTGTGGACTATACATACTTTAAACACACGGGGGTGCTAAAAGTACATGCACTATACCTTACAAGGCCATTTCTGCATTGAGATCTTATCAGAGATCCCTCACCGTTCTCTGCATTGAAGACTGAGATTAGATAATATATTTGTTTTGCTGCAGATAAAGTGTACTATGACTTTAACCACAAACTTGTCACCCGGATGTGAAGGCATGTTTGCTGGTCTTCATTTCAAAGTGAAAGCCCCTTTAAGTTGTTCTCAGAGGTAGGCGGGACTAATGTGGTAATCTTTTTTTCTATTGGCTGATGTGTTGCTACATGTGACTCGGACCAATAGAATTGCATGAATGAAAATACCAGAAGCTGAGCTCTTCCTGTTCTTTCTCAGTAAAGTTATGACTGTGGCTGAACAGGGCATACAGAACAGTGCATGAGGCAAGGGCCATTTTGTGACCAGTAAATACAATTAAAGTGCAGCCTTAACCAGGTGACCTGCTGGAAGACCCCAACAGACTTTCAGATTAAGTCTCCAAATTTATCAGAGAATTAGGGCTAACAGATATTAGGCTGGTCATTAATGCCACCTCAGCAAGCCACTTTACCTCAGGCCTTAACAGTAAAATGGCTGCCACTTATAGTGTGAAGGGATGTGAACATTAAAAGCTGCCATATTATTAGTTTAATTTATGTAAATGTGTAAAACAACGTAATGATTAAATATGAACCCTTACTACTATATGCACCCCAGCCTCCTGAAATATGAAATATTCCAAATGTCTTGATTAATCTTCGGAAGTGTAGTTACAAACAAAAATTGTTTTTTTAAAATAAATTTTATTTCTCACAGATCATTTTGGGATGAAAGTCTTCACATCTGCCCACCACAGTAAAAACCAGTAAAAACTGAAGTTATCAACATTTGGCTCATTCTAGGGAGTAATGAACAAGCATGTTACAAATGACATTGACCTGTATTCTCACTTCTTACCCTGAGCCCCCAAAGAGTCCAGTATAACAAAGATTACCTTTCACAAATTACATTTGGAGAGCGATTGTGAGCTATTGGAGCACCTCTTTTCTATACGGTTAAAGGTCAAATGTAACCATGCTAAAGTGAACAGCACCTTCTAAAATTACCTCAGGCTGCTGTCAGAGGTTATGCAGAACCAAATAATGGAGAATGCTATAATAGGCACAAATGAGCATTACAGATTTGACAGTCATCAGGTTTTAGATTCTAACGTTTACCATAAACTCTATACTACCTAAATATAGGGACAGAAATAAGTTAACTATTTCATACAATATGGAAAATGACAATTTTAAGTTTAACTTTAAATCAACGTGAGTGCAGCTCACTGAAACACACTCTTCTCATTATTTACACAGAGCACAATATGAAAAGTTGTTTAAGTGGTGCATTGCAGTGGCACCTGTTGAAAAGAGATTTTCCATACTTTCCATAAAAGAACTGAAAGTAAAAACATTATGGTGTTTTAGTTACATGTAGACACTTTTAACTGGTCTAACTTCTATATTGATAAAGGGTGTGGCTATAGAAAACAATAGCAAGGTCACTGAAGACAAGAGCAGACCACATGAAAGAGCATGTGTGCAGTGGTGCACAGGTGAGCAGCCAACCCCATCAGTCAACAATCACAATAGAAAGCAGAAGAACAGACAGAGAGAGAGAGAGGGAGGGAGAAAGAGAAGGGGTCGTACCTTGACGCATTGCTGTGAGTGGAACCCTCTTCCTCGAGTTTCTTACTTTTACTCTTCATCATCGCAGTGTCCGTGAAGATGTCACTGTTCAGTTGCTTATTCTGAATTTGTTGACAAAAGTTGTACTGTATGCCTTAACTATCATTAAAGTCCAGTAAAAGTGGCTTTGCTCTGATGGCAGGCTAAACCTAGACGAGGTGACACAACTACAAAAATAGAAATTGAACTAGACAAAATGCCAAACATTATTTGCTTGAAAGAAACCTGTAGCTATAGCATAGGTGAATTGTCATGATAGATGCTGTACAGTAGTGGAAGCCCCACTGTCTCATTCAGTGTAGTCCGGACACTGAGCAGCATGCAGAAAGCCCAATTGTTACTGCGTCATCGCATAAATATTAAGAAATAACACTTTTAAACGTAACAAAATAGTAATCTATAGATTGCACAATGTAAACGAGACAGAACTAAACATTGATAGCTGGCAGCCTACGACAGAAGTACTAAATAAAACTTCGCTATAATACGGAGTCGGAATATTTCCCGACTAGAATAAAATGCTGTAAAAAGTAGTTTCGCGAGAAATGTTCAGTAAATGTTCCATGTGAAAAGGCTGCAGGCCTACTAGTGTTCGCCTGCTGTCAGACTGGGAGCAGCCATGGGAGCAGCGCACTGCAAATGGAGGAACGCCATGGCTGCCACAGTCTGCTCTGAAAACAACGACAGCACTCCGCCAGCACACTCCGTTCTTTCGCGACTAAATACAGCTCTAAACCCGACCAAAACCTACGAAAAAGATTAAAACTGCGTCCGGAAAAGCTCAAACGTCCAGATATGACCATTTAAGAAGGTAACCTGGTAGTAGCCGGGTCAGAAAGCGTGTGTTGAAAGCCTATGCAGCCTTCCCAGGGCTGAGCCGCCATCTACAGCTCCTTCCCTAGCTCTGAGCTCTGCCTTTGATTGACGTTATTTCCATTTACCCCACACTCAGGTGATACTCAAGTCCCTCCCCTTTTTTATTCTTTATTTTGTATTTTCAATCCTACATACACATACAGGTCACAATAATAGCCCACATAACCAACAAGTCATCCACAATATTTATGGACCATAACTGGACAATTAGAAGAGCCTGGCCACTGGTTATAAAATATTTTCAGTGTCTTTGCATCACTTCCTGCACAGACAGGAAACTGAGGAGCAGAAGCCATTTTAGACACTACAGTCCATTTCCAAAACTGGCATATAAAGTAATGTGTCCTGTAGTCAAATAATAGTTTAAATTCTGACCATGTTTGAGTGATTACTGCTTCAGGTCTAATATTTAGTGCGATAATTTTCTGTTTCAAATCTGAAATACATAGTTAAGGTGATTAATTTACAGTACAAAATTCTGTACGTAACTGGGTGAGATGGGGACATGAAAAGCATTTTATCTGAATGAGTTTAGATGAGTAACCATTGCATTTAGTTTCATCTGCAGCATCGTTAAAGCTAATGAAATAAAGCCATGGAAAAGATTCGATCATTTACTTTATTTAAAAAAATACAGAAATTGTAAATATACAGAGACTGATTTTGTAGTTAAAAGTACAGTCCAAGTTTCACCAAATCCACTTGCAGGAAAGCTTTAAAAAGTTCCGCACAAAAAAAAAAAAATCCAAAAGCGAGACGTCAGTCTGAAAACATCTCATCTCGGCAAAAAAATGAATTCGCGGTTTAGCCAACCGCTATCTTCACGTTAATCAACGCGTCTTCCACTCCTCGGTTATCCAGTTGGATGGGTTCTTGACGGCATAAAAAGAAGGAAAATGTGTAAGCCCACATAAGTTCTTAAATGTGTTTAACCTAAAAACATTCACCTGAAACTGAAAAGCCAACGTAACTGGCGAAGAAGCTAAGCAAGCTAGCTAGCTAGCGTCATTTCGCGTACAATGTAACAGCATAACTTTTTTTGTTTTATATTCTGTACCATCGGAATCTAGAACAAATATCGTGGTGTGTGTGCAAACCATCATGATCACATAGTCGTAATTAAACATTAAAGCACACAAAACTTATTGTAATTCAAAGCCAACCCACAAGAATTTTAATTTGTCAAAATTGGTTGTGAATGATGCGTAAACTTGCCAATTTAAAAATGTAATTATTTTGGATACATGTCAAAATAGATTCCACATATAACCACTAGGGGTGCTGTGCAACATTTGAAAGCGAAAGATTTATCACTGCTTTTTTGATATCGGAACATTTAGATAATGGATAAGTGCAGATGAATTTATAAATATCCACTACAGTATAGTGTTAGTAAATGGAGTAAAATTATCCCAGTATTAGTAGTTAGGGATTCCTTTTCTAATCTCCGCGTGATTTGAACTGTGGTGAATGCACTCACAAATGTCCATTTAACACATGTCATTCAAAAGCCTTAAAGAAAAAAACAACAACTCCATACTAATTTGTTCAGCTTCTGCCTGTCACTTATTAAAAGAGATTAGAGGAAAATAAACCATATGAATGGTGTTAAGGCTCTAAAATTCAAATACTCATGCCACTCAAGTGTTTCAAGCAGTTACACTTTAAGAAATAATGCAGAAAGAGCAGCCTGAAACTAAAGGTCCATGCTTTGTGGTGGCACATTTCGGGACTTACCTACACAGTTGTCTTCCATGTCTGGAAGGCCTCGCAGCAGTATAAAGTCTGCCTCTGAAAGAAAGAACGAACGACGTAAGTTCCATGTGTCCAGTACCAATGAAATGGTGTAAGAGCAGAATAGTCACTGTGGGGGATTTCATGTGGTGCATTTCAGCATATTCGTATGTTGCGTTTCAGTATTTGTGCGTTTCAGCACAGATGTGTACATTTATTTGGTATATGTGTGATTTTAGCAGAGATCAGCATTAGATTTAGCAACTAACATGGAATGCAATTTGTTGCTTTCCCCCCAATACTTAATGCATTTGGTCCACATCCTCTAGTGGCCACTTGAAGTAAAGCAGGTTTATAAAAAAAAAAAAAAAAAAAAAAGAATTCTTTAAGAGCTTTAGTATGCTATAGTTGATCTATGACACGTCATGTGCGCCATCATTTCAGATTTTGGACTAAATCACCATACTGATGAAATAACAACAGGAAACTGTGTGCCGATTTCTGTCTACTCCTTTACGGTATTTCACCATAACCATCTAAATGAAACAATGCTGCCAGTCAGGTAACTCAGTTGGGGTTGTTTGAACAAGCCCCACCCCCTGAGAAATCTCCCATATGGGCTATTTTGGATTTAGAAAAACAGTGGAAACACACCAACTGAATGTGGAATGATTTAAGCGTTCAGGGCAAAAGGTGCTCACAAAAGCTCTCCAAAGCTCACTTAGGAGTTCACTTAGGGCTGTAATGTTTTGCATTTGCTGTGAACTTTGGCCATCTTTAAATGTTTCTCATCAATGCTTTTAGACTTTTAATCGTTTCATTTGGCAGTCATGTGCCAATTCTGAAAAAGTCGTACAATTTGAACCCACATTAAGTGTTACTGATGGTTGAATGTCCATTTATTTCAATATAATCTGGGGTACTGCAGAGAGTCTTCCCAGTGGTCAGTCTGGGGTAGTGATGTCCCAATCCAGTTTTTTGGCTCCCAATTTTTACAATGCTTGCAGATACAAATTTTCAATTTTTTTTAATGATTTTTAGTTCAGGCAGTATTAAATTAAGCATTCAATGCTGAATTTAGCAAACGCTAAAAATAAATGCTGAATTAAATTACCAGTAGCCTATAAAATGGCCCATTGTAACTAAATAGTTAAGTTAAGTACAATACAAGTACAGCAGCTTCAGAGCCTTATTCTCACATGGGCTGAAACATTAGAAGACGTTTTAGACAGTTTCTTAAAGTGTGTGTTTTTTGTTGGTTTTTTTCCCCCTTCATTTTTATGTTTAAGGCCTGTAAAAAGAGAAGAAGCCTGCCTCAGAGCACATGGCTACTCAGTATGCATAAATAAGATAGCATATATAGTGCTTGTCTGCTGCCATATTGTTTAAGTTTGGGTTTCACTCTTAAGGCTCTGAGAAGACACTGCAGAAGTAAAACAAATTTTGTCATTGTTTTGTTTTTTTGTCTTCAATGTTTTTAGCTGCTTAAGAGTCTCCCCAGTCTGCATGTAGAAGAAAAATGCCTAAAATGGGCACACAATACCGATACCAGCATCAGATCTGGACATCCTTAGTCTGAGGTACTGCAGAAAGTTTGAGCAGTGGACAGTCCACGGTACTGCAGAGAGTCTAACCAGTGGACAATCCATGGTACTGCAGCAAGTCTGACCAGTGGACAATCCACGGTACTGCAGTGAGTCTGACCAGTGGACAATCCACGGTACTGCAGTGAGTCTGACCAGTGGACAATCCACGGTACTGCAGTGAGTCTGACCAGTGGGCAATCCACGGTACTGCAGCGAGTCTGACCAATGGACAGCTCGTGGTACTGCAGTGAGTCTAACCAGTGGACAATCCACGGTACTGCGGTGAGTCTGACCAATGGACAGTCCACGGTACTGCGGTGAGTCTGACCAATGGACAGTCCACGGTACTGCAGTGAGTCTGACCAATGGACAGTCCACAGTACTGCAGTGAGTCTGACCAATGGACAGTCCACGGTGCTGCAGTGAGTCTGACCAGTGGACAGCTCGTGATACTGCAGTGAGTCTGACCAGTGGACAGCTCGTGATACTGCAGTGAGTCTGACCAGTGGACAGCTCGTGATACCGCAGTGAGTCTGACCAATGGACAGTCCACGGTACTGCAGTGAGTCTGACCAATGGACAGTCCACGGTACTGCAGTGAGTCTGACCAATGGACCGTCCACGGTACTGCAGTGAGTCTGACCAATGGACCGTCCACGGTACTGCAGTGAGTCTGACCAATGGACAGTCCACGGTACTGCAGTGAGTCTGACCAGTGGAAAGCTCGTGGTACTGCAGTACTCTTGAGCCCAGAGAGCATTTTTCCCATAGAGCAAAGTTTTAAACGTGGCTCATGTTCAGCTGAGAAGGCCCTTATGGCTTTCAAAAAAGGCGATGTTTCACTATGATTATTACACATTTTCAAATTAGGCAAAGCTCAGTCGGCATTGGACATAAACACATATTGGTTAATTTCCATTTCAGACCGTAGATGTACTTACACATCACCTCGCTCTAGCGCTGCTATAGCCCGATACTGCACTTAGATTTCGCGAACAGACATAGTACGTAAGCCCGTTTTACTTGCGGAAGGGTTGGTGGTTTAGGGCTGTACTTTCAACACTACCATGTGTGGTCCGCAGGCCGCACAGACACTGAATGTACTAAGCCACTAACGGCCTAATAGCGCCATAAAGAACTTTGCACCATGCCAAAGACCCAAAGTAGCAGGGCTAGGCTGCACCCTTGTGATGCAAGAAGTGAACTAAAGAATGGACTTGAGGGTGAAGAACTCAGTAAATCAGTAGTCAACAAGTAAACAGTCATATTAAAACATAAAAATATTATACTTACACATCAGTAATGTGACGAAAATTCGCCCCATCAGTTTACTCGGGAGAGCTCAAGTTCAACCCTTGAAACAGAAATAAAACGTTAACTTAGACAACAGTGCACTCTTGTGGTCATGAATATGTTGCAGTTATGTGAAACTACATTAAAATTTTGAATTTCACATACCGTTTTAAGTAGGTTAGGTCATCTAATGTCTTCTTTGAAGAAATCTATGAAACTGCGAAGGTATAGCTGTAAAAAAAAAAAAAAAACACATTACCAATCTTTTCAATCAAAATAAAATTAGAACCACCACCATCTATAGGAATCTCAATATATTTCTATTTTGTGTAGGAATATTTAGTACTATTGACATTTTCATTTTGGAACTTAATTTAAAAATGATAAATACTACAACTAACATCCAAGTGTTGGTTTTGGAGTATTTATTTAACCA